TCCTTCTCCTTCCCCCAGCAGCGCTACTCCTGGATCTGTCTCTTATACACATCTAGATGTGTATAAGAGACAGCTGCACTCAGTGCATGATGCACAGTGCACGTGCTGTCGTTCCAGCGTACACCGCACCGTGCACCTGCCCTCACCGCACTGTGCACTGGTGTGCCGCAACTATGCTTCATGTGCATGCTGCAGACAGGTGGGCCGAAAACAGAATCGGACTACTCAGTTCTTCAAAGTGAATTCTTCTTCTGGGGGCATTGTTATCTGTGTGAGCATGAATTGGTTGCTATGTCTTGAGGCCTTCACCAGCATGTCTCTTTTGCTTGTTTTTTGTTTTGTCTTTGAAGTTTGAACATGTTTTCTCAACACATAAAATGAATGTTTTGACAGTTTCGCTCGTAAGTCCTCCTCTTTTTCACACATTGTTCCAAACTTCGAAAGCCTATTTTTGTGCAACAGGACCAGTGCCAGGCAGTTTAGCCCAGTAGTATGTGTCGTAAAGCAAATTACCTCAGGGCACCTCTTTGTTGCCATGTGTTGCCATGTATCGCCTTCTTGCGCCCTCCCACAGGCCTCTGTGTTGACCACATTGCCTGATTTCCATCAGGAAGAAATGAATCCTTTTCTACCTTGTTTCACTATAACTGTGTATGGTTGTGAAGAAACCTCAAGTTGCGATACACGTAAGAGAGGGGGAATCGTCGAACTGTCCTTACTCTCTGCTTGGAGCACTACCTTTGGGTCCAGTTCTTGAAGTGGTTTCCTTCATCAATTTCTATTGGTGCCAGCATGTGTGTGTGTGTGTGTGTGTGTGTGTTCACGCGTACACGCGTTCACTGACACTCAGGCTGTGATGGTGATGTGATGATGAGCAGGTGCTGCTGCATGGGCTTCTTTATTTATTGACGTCAGCAACATGCTTGCCATCGTCGCCTGAGAGCATAGTAAGTGTTTCCGGCATAGTAAGTGTTTCCGAAAGGAAAATTTTGCGGTTGCCGCCTGTCGAGAATTGTTTTGAGGTCAGAGAGTTTCCTCTATGTCTTTTCTGGACACTCTGGTCAGTGATTCCCTCTCCGTGCAGCCATTCACTGGTCATGTGAAGTCGAGAGAAGATTGTTTGATTGTTTGGTCGACGGTGACTATATGCGAACAGCTCTTCACATGCTAATCATGATGGAGTGTAGTGCGGATGGCTGAACTTCACAGCTGTGCTATGTAAAAGAAGCAAACGTATTAGAGCATCCTCACACTAACTCTTTCATGGATGTATATGACTGCAATTATGACCACTTCCGGGTCAAAAATTCCTTGTGCGACTATGGCCTTAGCATACATGAACACCCTTGGTAGATGCTGATACTTGTGTACCAGACCACTGAACGGGGAAACGGGGCCGGATTGTCACGCAAGAGGTTCAGATGCCGATTGAATTTGGGCCATGCCAACGGAAAAAGGCTACAGAATAATAAAAGAGATTGTGAATTTGAGAAAACAACGGGGCTGGAATAGTGTGTGGGTGTGGGTGAAAGTAAAAAAAGGAAAAAGAACAGTAGGTTGGCACCTACAAATTGAGAGAGTGTCCGAATTTGAGAAAACTGAAAATGTTGTACCCGTGGAAACACCCTACAAGTGGAAAATCCCTGAGTTTCAATGGCTGCAATAATCGCAGGAAAAGGGCATTTCCAAGGCTTCTCTTTCTCTCTCCCCCCTGCTTTCTGTCCTCCACTCTCTCTCTCTCTCTCTCTCTCTCTCTCTCGCTCTCGTACTTACTGGCACCCTTACAACTGCTGTATGAGAAATACGGCATGACCTTGCTCATACAGTTGGGAAATCCATTGACCGTTCTGAACTGATGTCCCTTACCAAATATGCAGCCCCATGCTGTCTTCTCGTATTGCACTTGCCAGCACGTGTGTGTGTGTGTGTGCGTGTGTGTGTGTGTGTGTGTGTGTGTGTGTGTGTGAGTGAGAGAGAGAGAGAGAGAGAGAGAGAGCGAGAGAGAGAGAGAGAGAGAGAGAGGGAGGGAGTTGGTGTAGACCACTTATAATAATAACAAGCGGACCCGCCGCGGCTTCGCTCACGGCAAGGTCGGAAGGGGGAGGGAGGAGCGAGAGGTGAAGGTGTGGAGAAGCGAGGGATAAACCGAGAGAAAAAAAAAGAAAAAGAAGAAAAAAAACTGAACAAATTTGCGATCCCGATAGGCTCCCCCTGCCCCTCTCTCTTCCGAACCTCCTCTTCCTTCCCCCCAATCAAGACTGTGATCCCGACTCTGTCCCTGTTCCCAATTCCGCTTCCTTCTCCCAATCCCGCTTGCTATCCCAATCAGCTCTCCCTGCCCTTCTTTCTTCCGAACCTCCTCTTCCTTCCCCCAATCCCGATTGTGATCC